TTCAGTATCACAGATAAAGGAGATAAGACTAAAGTATTTTTATCTTCCAGTTCAATGAAATGAATATTCCCTTTAGAATGAGTGTAGAGCAGCATCTCCAACCTCTTTCATGGGTTGCGAATGGTGACAGCCAAAATATAGTTTTACCTGAGGACTCAACCATGTTTCTCCACAAGTGAGTTATAATGGGCAACTCCAACCTTCAACTGAGATGACGAAGAAGAACCTAGCTTTGCCCAAAGAAGAACCCAACTTTCGTAATTTGATTTCAATCACACACACGTGCCAATCACTTAATCTTATTCCACAAATTAAACAAGCAGTGTGACAGATACTTAAGACGGAAGTTAGCAGAAGACGTGACCTTGTCGTTTGTCAGATCAACAAAAAACTTTGAGTAGGGACTAAAACAAAAAATCAATGATATTTAAGGGACGAAAAACATATTTAACCCAAATCTTTTTTAATAAATATATAAATAAACACTAAGTAGACACACATTTCTATTTAAAATTTAAAATTTTATTTATTTTTTTAAAAGTCGTATATAATAGGTTTAATTGCTTCCTTTGTCCCCAGTTTGGTTGAATTGTGTCAAATTCATCCTCATTTTTAAAAAAGTTTCATTGTCATCCTCACGTGGTGTAAAAGTTTCATTGTCGTCCTCACGTGGTGTAAAAGTGTCAATTGAATCCAAACATAGAAAAAATTTGTGTCAAAGTAGTCATTTTTCCTATATATCTGTGTCTTCCTTTCATACAATCAAGTACAGATATTCATTTTACCTTATCCAATTTAAGGCTTTTCATAGCTCCAGAGAAGTGACATATGAAAGGAAGACACAGAGATATAGGAAAAATGACTACTTTGACACAAATTTTTTCTATGTTTGGATTCAATTGACACTTTTATACCACGTGAGGACGACAATGAAACTTTTTTAAAAATGAGGATGAATTTGACACAATTCAACCAAACTGGGGACAAAGGAAGCAATTAAACCTCCTATATAATATATTTCATTTGAACAAACAATTTTATTTAACTGAATAGGTCTACTAGCACGGATCAGATTTATATTTTGTTTATTCTTTAATTTTAGAAATTTAAGTTTTCTTATTTCTCTTTCTAAATTTCGGTTACATATTGACTTCTTTTTTACAATCTTACTTTCTTATAATTTTTAACAAAGAAGCATTAGTGCAATATCAAATAATGTTTTTTCATTTGAACTACATCAAAATTTAGTAAGTAACCTAACAAATATAAAAAATATTCTATTAATTATTTGTTTTAAGGTACTAAAGAAATATATTAAAAAAAAGAAATTTTAGTGAAAATTTTGGGATGAGTTACAGGCTAGTTCGAGTAGCTTCTCTAGTTTATTAATTAAAAGCTTCTCAAATTACTTTGGTCCATGTTGCTGTGTTGGATATGACAACATCATTCAAATTGGCTAATACTATACAAACGTTGTCTTCAATGACAGTCATAAGCGTTCTTGAACTTCCATAAGCTCCAACTCGTTGCTGCAAAGACGGACCCGTTGGGAATACATTTCATGTCCAAATATCAAATTATACTCAATATTTATATTCAATCAAGATATTTTTATTCATGTTTAAAATATTTTTCCCATGCAAAATTCCACAGAGGCTAGTGCCAATCTTATTATTATTTTTTTTTCTGCAAAATTCCATAGGATAGTACAAAAACAAATAAGAATGACAAATTTTCTTTAGAAATACATCATTTTTAATATTATTGTTGATTTAGATGGGAGGGAGAAAAGTGAAGAAAAAAAAAATAACAACGGCATATATATAATCCCATAATAAAAGCTGGTATGATATATATTCAAAATAGTTTATGGTCTATTATGGAATATTTGTTCAAAATGAATAAACTTTATTATAAAAAATTTTAAAATGTTAAAAATTATTTTTGAATTACATTTTAAATATTTATTTTGTCGTAATATCTATAAAATATGTGATCAGGAAACTTTTCATACATTCTTAATCATATTTTTTTAAAGTATAAACATTTTAAAAGGTCTTTTCATGATTATGTGATAATGAAGAGGTGCAGAAAGAAATCATAGAGGTGCCTAAGGTAAAAGTCAGGATTCATGGTGGCCTCATTGAATTCTCCATGACCCGTTTGAGCTTTGAAATATCACAATAATGGTGTTGTTCCTTTCATCACCACACTTTTCTTTCTTCACCTTCCCAATTTTCTTTAATTTCAATTATATCTTCAGATTAAATTTTTTTATTTTTATTATTTTACTATTTTAATTTATTTCAAACATAGTTCTCCTACTTTACTCCCTACACCCAATCTTTTCATCTCCCATTTCCGTTTAACAATTTGTGTTTCGTTTTACTCTGCAACTCCATTTGTCTTCTTTGTTTCACTTCTCCTCCTCCGTTTCTTTCTTCTTCATTTTCCTTACATTATTAAAATACATTAAAAATTATATTCAAAATAATAAATCAAAAATTTAAATTAAATTATTAAAATATCTCCAAAATAAAGAATAAACTAATAAAATAAACTCTAAAATAAAAAGCGTAGGTGACATCCTTCAATAGATGTCACATCTATTTAAGAAAAAACGGATGTCGACATCCGTTTTACCTTAAACGGATGTTGACATCCGTTTAAAGTACGTTTTTTATTTAGGGTTTTATTTGAAGGTCTATCCGAATAAGCACCTTGGGAAAGCACCACACACACTGCACCACGAGAGCCACACTGTATCACGAGGGAGACTGCTTCATAATTATTTCCACCACCACTAACCTTTGCAACTTGTATCTCACAGCAATGAAAAAAAGAGAAAAAATTATAATGTTAAAATTAAAGAAACATATTTTACTGAAGACTATAATATATTATTAGTGAAATAGATTGTGAATGGGTAAAATTAAAAAATAATAATCTTAAAAATAAAATTTTACTTAAAAACAAAATAATAAATGAGAGATATGGTGAGGGATGAACACCCCACTATAAAAATTCAAAATAGTAACATCATAATGATTATATAGTTATTATTTTGTCACTAAGTTCTTAATTGTTTGTCACAGAATAGGACAATTTCAATATTACTTTTTGCAGAATTTGAATTTCTCTTTTACATTATTTTCTTTTAGTTAAAGCCACTTTTGAAGGTTACGTGTTTTCCACGTACAATGACACATAAAATAACAACAACTTAATGCGCATGGTGTGTGATATAAACTTTTTGAAAGCATTTTTTATATGCTTTCACACATAAAATTTTTCACATCTATTTAGTATTATCATTTTTTATTTTTATTTTTTATTTGAAAAAATACAATTTTTTTATATTTATAACTATTTTATTTTTATATTATATGTTAAATAAATATAAAAAGGTGTCACCGTCTCATTTATATATAATCTTAAAATTTTGAAAATAAGTTAAAAATATCATTTGTTATTATTATTATTATACATACATAGCTTTATCAGGCAGGATTCATAATTTTTAGTGTATATATATATATATATATATTTTATCTTTTAAATATTTTCTTTTAAATTAAAATTTTAAACTTTATACAAATTTTTAATTAAAAAATTACCTACAAAATAAATAAAAACCATTTATAAAAAAATTATTTATTAATTTTGTAATTATATTTTTTGTATTTTTCTAAATTTATCCTTTATTAAGTAACTATTTACCAATTTTATCATTTAAGTGACATTTCTTTAAGATTTAACCATTTTTTTAATTTAATCTTCTTTTAAACTAAAATAACCATCTCTAATAAAATATTACCTACAAAATAAATAAAAAACTATTTGCAATAAAATTAAAAAAAATTATTTATTTTTATTTTTATAATCATCATTTTATTATTATTTTTATCACAAGAAAAAAAAACACATATGTGTAATATATGTGTTTTCATTATATAAATATATTTTGATATTTTTGAATAATTACTAAAAAAAAATATTAATGTGTTAAAGAAAATTAAAATAACTTGAAGGATAACTACACAAGCAATGAGATTACCCCTATTGTCCTAAAAAAATTAAATAAACTCCAATTTTTTTGATTTTGTCAAATAATTCTTTTAGTCTGAATAATATTTAAAGAATTTTTTCTGCTTTATCCACGTCAAAACACGTGCGTTGAGTAAGCAAAACAGAACCACGTATTTTCTTCCTGGAGTGTGGGGGCCACATTCACGGAATGAACCTATCGTTCTCCTCACTCCGTTTTTATTTCTTTAAGAAAAATTGTAATGAATTAGAAAAAAACAACACACGAAACAAACAAAAAGGACCTATATTATCGCCATGTACATCACTAGGTACGTCATCACAGAAAAAGACTAATACTTTTTATACCTATATAAAATATAAAAAGACAAATATTTTTTTTCTCATTGGAATAGGCTAATATAACATATATTTTTCTTATTCTTTTAAATTAAAATAATTTCATTCTTTTAAATGACTATTAATTTAAATTTAATATTCTTTAAATTAAATCATTATTTTTAATTATTGTATCTTTAAATTTAGTTATTTGAACTTTCTCATATCAAAGTCGTCTACTGGTATTGGTAAATTGTATAATTATTTAACAAATTTTTTTATTAAACAGATTATGAAAATAAGACTTTAATTTAAATTAGAAAATGACACAAACAATGTTTACACAACTACATAATTTTTTTATTTGAGCATCTCTGACTAATTTTCATAATGTGAATTTATTGATTTGTTCTTTTTTAAAATGTTAAATTGGGGGAATAATATTTATAGAATTTTTAAATAATATTTAATAAGTTGAAATAAATGGACACAGACGCACACTCTTTGCATGCCTAACCCTAGCCAATGTCCTTGGGCAATGAGGGAAAATAGTCTCGGAAAAGAAAATATGTGAAAAATTATTTTGGAAGGATAGAGAGTGCATGTTGACTAACTCCCAACTAACACAATTTAATTTAATTTTATTTTATTTTATTTTTATGGTGAGAAAGAACAGAGGTAACCTTTGGGTGTCGTTGTATCAGTATCTATATAGAAGAGTGGAAGTGAGAGAAGAAGCATTAATTGAGAGATTGAAAATGAACGGATTAAGAAGTGAACGAGCTCCTCTCTTGGAATCCCAGCGTGGCGTAAGTCAATTTCTCTTCCTCTCCACAATTTTTCTTCGCTTTTCTTCGATTGCTCCTTCTTCTCTACTACAACACTGTCATTCGTTGCTATTTCTGTCATCAATTCAGAAACACACGCTTATTCAATGTAATTCACTGCCTCCTGATGATGATGATAATAAATCCTATTGTACTCTTTTAATTGAATTAAAACTTTTTTTAAATTTTTTTTGTTGGTGTTTAAACTCGTTCTTCTTTGTACATATCACTTTCTGTTAAGTTGTGTTGTGGAAACTGTGTTCAGTGAAGACAGAGTTCAAGTCTTTACTGTTTTTTGTCATTTTTCGGATTTTATTTTGTTTTTTCTTTCATTTTGAGGCATGAATGAGATTAAAGTTTACACGAGAGGTCATGGATTTGTAACGATTCCACACTGTGAGGAACTCGTGCATGCTATACTGGCTTAGGTTTTACCCAGTCACTATTGCTCCCTGAAACTATTAATTACGTTCCCAATTCTTGGTATGGTCATGCATTTTTCTTTCGTGAGTTGTATGGTTATGGATTGGGTACAGTCAATGTAAAAATTTGCGAAAGTGGACATATTTCTGCGACTGCATTTATCGATGTGGTTCCATTAATTTTTGAAATGATATAGGGACGAGGAAAGAGGGATGGTAGCTCGGAAGATCAAGTCTCAGACCTTGAACACGGTGACGCAGTGCCGGTAATTACTGTCCACGCATAATTTAATTCTCTCTGTGACATCTCATAGCATTAGCATCATGTTAACATTTGCATTTGCTAACTTAATGCGTGTACATTACAGGCGGCGAATGTGGGATTCTGTCGAGTGTTTTCACTCGTAAGTGGCCAATGTTTCTTTGAATGAATTGCTGTCATGTTATTTTGATTATTAAAGCTTCTTCTTTTGTTCGTTTGAAATTGATTGCAGGCAAAACCTGAGGCTGGAAAGCTGGTGATCGGTACTGTGGCTCTTCTGATTGCAGCCACATCAAGTATCTTAGTTGTATGCTTCTTTTAATACCTCCCTTTTCCGTTCCATCTCACATACAGAGATACTAAATATTCTGTCAGCGTGTATTTATGTTATTTGCTGTCACCATTGCTGAATATAAGTTTCTACCTGCTTTCTAATGAACATGGAAATATTCTTGCCGCAGCAAAAATTTGGTGGGAAGATAATTGACATTGTCTCTGGGGATCTCCGGACTCCGGAGGAGAGAGATGAAGCTTTGGATGCTGTTAAGAGCACCATACTAGAAATCTTTCTGATCGTTGTCTTTGGGTATGATCCTCGCTTGAGTACTATTGAATATAGTGAAAAATTTGTATGGGATTAATCTCCCTTGTATAGAAAATATGCATAACATTGTTTTTATAATAAAAAAAATATGAATTAAACCCAAAACACAAACAAAGACCAATGATAAAGTAACTGAAGATAAAAGAGAAAATAAAATATTTATGTAAGATTTCTAATAATCTAATATATTTAATAAGTACTTTTTAATTTATCATAGACATAATTTTTAACTTATCACTGTGTTTTGATGGTTTTCCAGATCAATTTGCACTGCACTTCGAGCCTGGCTTTTTTATACTGCCAGTGAAAGGGTTGTTGCACGGCTGAGAAAGAATTTGTTCAGTCACCTTGTAAACCAGGTAAAACAGTAATGACTCTTGCGTTGCATCTCTTTACTTTCTCTGAGCACTGAGCAGGCTTGTTTATTATGTACTATGAGTTCTCAGGAGATAGCTTTCTTTGATGTTACTCGAACCGGGGAACTTTTAAGTAGGCTATCTGAAGATACACAGATCATAAAGAATGCTGCGACTACCAATCTTTCTGAGGCCCTGAGAAACTTTTCAACTGCATTTATTGGTTTGAGCTTCATGTTTGCAACGTCATGGAAGTTAACGTGTGAGTTATTCAACATTGAAGAAATGCAAACACGCAATTATATATATCCTAATCAATGTTTACAAAAAAAACCGGTCATTGAATTGGTGGCAGCTTGGTTCATTCATGATTTAACTATAGTCAAACCAGTGATAGTTAATTAAATATTTCAATGTCGTACAATTTATTAAGCAATGAATTAACATAAAATGAAAAGAAATAAAATCAGAGAAAATATAACATTAGCATAAAAGGACCATATTGTTAATCCTGCGTAGACAGAAAAATAATAAATAATAGTTAACCACATTTAGCGAGAGTGGACCTTATTTCATTTATTATTATTTGTCTCAAAAACATATCGTTGGTTGAATAAAGGATAAAAGAAGTAAATAAATAATAAATAAAAAAACTTGTCCAAACTGGTTTTTTGCCACTGGTTTTAGTGGTTCTCTAAATGTCTGATCTTTCAATTTTTCTAGATTGAAAACTGAGCCACTTCACTGGTTTTGTGGCCAAACTGGTTCACCCGGGTTTTCTTATCCATTATCCTAACTTCTCTCTTTTTCATCAACTCTTGCAGTGTTGGCTTTGGCTGTTGTACCTGTTCTTTCCGTTGCTGTTCGCAAGTTTGGCCGTTACCTGCGTGAACTTTCTCATAAAACTCAAGCTGCTGCTGCATTAGCTTCATCAATTGCGGAGGTACGCCTTTTTCACCAAAAAGATATCATAGGAAAAGATAGTTTAACTTATATTAATTTCATCTGTGTTGCACAGGAATCCTTTGGTGCAATAAGAACAGTAAGATCATTTGCCCAAGAAGATTTTGAAATAACGCGCTACTCAGAGAAAGTTAATGAAACACTTAATCTTGGACTTAAACAAGCTGTGAGTTAGCCAATTATATTTTGATACATCGTGTAACTTCTTTTGTTTACCTTTACAACATTTAATCTTATATGTATCTCTTTGGCAATGCAGAAAGTTGTTGGACTCTTTTCTGGAGGCCTTAATGCTGCATCTACACTTTCAGTTATTGTAGTTGTTATATATGGAGCTAATTTGACAATCAGGGGTTACATGTCCTCTGGTGATCTTACATCTTTCATTCTTTATAGTCTCTCAGGTAAGTTCTTTTTTCTATTTCTCCCATTTACATTACAATGAAACCTGGAAAACATTCACATTGAAAGTATGCATGATCCATGGATATTTTCTATTAGTTGGTTAAGATTCTTCTTGTTTATTCTCTTGATCTATTTCAGTGATATTTTAACTGTTGTATTTGAACTACCTCTGTTGTATTGATATTGACTCAGCTCCTTTGCCTTATTGCAGTGGGTTCTTCTATATCTGGTCTGTCAGGATTGTATACAGTAGTTATGAAAGCTGCAGGTGCTAGCAGAAGGGTATTTCAACTTTTGGATCGTACCTCATCCATGCCCGAGCCAGGAAGTAAATGTCCACTGGGGTCAGTTTCATATAATTCCTAAAATATAACTTTGAGAAATTCTAGCAACACAAGACAACACACTTTGTACAGTAGGGTGAAATTAATGTGGTACCCACTAAATAGGAGGCAGGACCCTTGTCATTGAGTGGGGTCACTCATGAATTTCACCAAACAGTATAGAGTGTGTATAGTTGTAAATCTATTATGCTATTCATTGAGAATTTGTCAATCATTTCACCAATTATGTATTTTACAATCCTTGAACTTGGTCTAGGATGTACAGATGAAGGAGCTTACTTTTTTTAATCTTTTACTACATGATTTTACAGCTCCCTCGTTATACATTCAACTCCTGTATTCCCTATAAAAAAAGTGCTTAAACTCATTAAAACTCCTGTATTCCCTATAAAAAAGTGGTTAAACTCTAGAATCATATGATTGGCCTTCACATATTCAATGTTTTTCTCTTTGAACTTTAGAGTATTTTCGGAAACCACCATCAAATCTATCTGCATACTAGATCCTTTTTCAGTATTTCGCAAGTCTTCTACTCGGTGCAAAACATTACTCATTTCTTGAAAAACACCATCATCAACAATCTTGACAAATCCAATGTCTTTAATGTCAATCAAACTCATCTCGTACAAGCCATTCTCCCACAATCTAGCCACCCTCCTTTTTCTATATGTTTTTTGTAATGAAATACTACTAGGGGTCTCAATCTTGGTGGTGTAAACCGAAACCGAATGACTAATAGCTCTTCTCCCACCAGCAGAAACTGCAGCATCAACCCCAATTGGATTTAGAATTTCATCCAATGCATCAACTTGATGGAGAGCAATGAGTGGTCAGTCGTGTCCACATATGTGATGTTGGTGGGAATCTCTTTTTTCTTGCATAGGACCCTCAACTTTGCAAAGAAATACTCCTTCAACTGATCTTTTGGAGTTGGATTTACTTGTGACACCAATATCTTGAAATCTTGGATGAAAATTTTCCCACTCCCAGTCTGTGTTAGTGCTGCCAAACTCTCAAATAAAATTTTCACACTCCCTGTCTGGGTCACTGCTGCCAAACTCTCAAATAACATGCTTCTCCTAGTGCCTCCAACTATCCTTAGTTGAGTTGTTGCAAGATCTTCCCAAGATTTTGTTGCCAGATTTTAGCCCACTAGCCTGCATTTCCTTCCATCCTAATGATGGCTGGACGCAACTTCTCTTTTGGAGCAATTTCCTGAATTTCGAAAACATTTTCAGCCCTTGCTGTCTACCCCATTGGATCGTTCCCTTCAAAGGTGGGTAATTCCATCCTTATCATCCAATGCTTATGTACTTCTTCCTCTTCTTTGTCAAAATTCTCACCGAGCACCGTTTCTTTCTCCTCTCCTTCCCCGTTAATGGAGTTCTCGCTTCTTTGAGAACTTCTTTCTCTCTTCTTGAATGACACAGTAATTCTTTAATTTCTTGGAAGTTATCTTGCATCTCCAAAATCACCCTTCCATGTTCGCTGGCCAATTTCTCCAAAGCAGCTATTCTCTTTTCCATGATTTCCCCTTCTCGAATGCGGCAGGCTGGACCAAATTGTTAGGAACCCAAAAACTGTGAGAAGAAAAAGAAGACTGAAAAAAACTAAGAAAAACTCTAACTGAATTATTCACTATTAGCCGTATAAGCCAAAGCTTTCAAAGGAAAATTGCTTTCCTTTCATACAGGGTATTTCCCGTCCCAAACTCAAAAGACTATCCATACAAAAGAATCCCCCAACATCCCACCACAAGATAAGAATATACAGGCTTTTCTAGAAAGTCTCCCAGCGCCCCGCCCACCCCCTTTACAACTACCCATTTTACTACTTTTATCTCTAAATTTCTTCCTAACCCTCTCATTACATCAATGCCTAACACTTTCAGCTTAAACTTTTATTCCTTTGAATGAGAAGTGGCACTGAATGCCTTTTATTGTAGTGATCAAGATGGGGAAGTAGAACTAGATGATGTGTGGTTTGCCTATCCATCACGCCCTAATCATCCAGTGCTCAAGGTAACAACGTCCCTTTAGTTTTATGTTCGGGCATTGCAAATGTTCTGGAATCCGGTAAATAATTAATCAAATTATACTGCACTGTTCATCTTAGGGCATTACGTTGAAACTGCATCCTGGATCAAAGGTTGCTCTTGTTGGTCCAAGTGGTGGTGGAAAGGTATAGTATACATAGTTTTCCCTTTCTTGCTGTTTATTTTTGGAGTTAATCATTCTAAAAGGTTCTTATTTAATGAGCTTGGGTTGAAGAGCCGTAGAAAGGTTAGCAAGGTGAAGTGAAAGAGAAAAAACATCATGCGCATTATTTTGTTTCTTATTTTGTGCAGAGTACAATTGCGAACTTAATTGAAAGATTTTACGACCCAACCAAGGGAAAGATTCTACTGAATGGGGTTCCTTTGGTAGAAATATCACACAAGCATTTACACAGAAAGGTAACTTGACCACAGTTTTTTTTGTTTTTTTAATTTCAGATTTTAAGTTTATTTCTTTATTTATTTTTCGATACAATCAAGTGTTTGAATTTAAATAATACAAATTTATTTTATTATTTATATTTACTGTCAAACACAGGCCATAGATTTTTAGGTTAGCACTGCAGCATCTGTTTGAGCGTAGGACACAAAAAATCTTAACATTTTAGCAAATGAATATCAAAAGTACATTTTACAGAATACAACAAACTTATAATATTTAGCAGATGAATATCACACGTATATTTCAGTAAATATTAACTTTATGTAAGACATTCATACACTACTGACAATGATTTACCCAATTTAGTGTTGTAGACTTGCAGTCTCGTGTTTTTAAGTTTTAGGAACGTGATGTCTTACAGTATTATGCATTGATGAGTATAAGATAAAATCCTGGTATATTGACTTAATAAGAAGTCGAGATGAAAAGCTATTTATTAATTCATGCGTTGTACCTATCATGTTGTGACTTACTACAGCTACATTTTTTACTGTGCTGTCTGATTGCCTTGCAATTGAGTTTGATACTGAAAATGTATAGTTTGGAGCTTGTAGTG